CGCGAGCCCGGGTGGCCGGGACGGGGCTGCGAGCGACCCTCCCTCCCGGTCGGCGACCGCGGACCTCCTGGGCGAGGGCGGCGCCGGCAGTGCGCATTCGTAAGGTAACTGTGCACTAGGGAGGCGTCGCCGTGCGGGCTGCTGGGTTACCGGGTTACCGACCCCGGGACACCCACCGCTGACTGCTGTCGGGCTGATCCGAGAATTCGTGTTCGTCGTGGGGGCACAAAGAGGGGGAGAAGGCCCCCCACGGGTCCAGACGGCCAAGGCCGGGGAGCAGCGGCCCGCGCGTCTCCCCCTAGAGCTCAGCTCGGCGGGCGCAGGGGCTGGAGACGCCGGGCTCCGCGACCTGCCCAGCCTGACTTTCACGGTGGCGACGCCTGGCAGAAGTTGCAGGTGGAGGCATCAATTGCTGCACATCCAAATGCTGTCTTTTTTGTTCCCCAAGTCTGCTTGAGCCAGGAAAGGGCAGGGCAGTGACTGGAAAGCAGACCGGCCAGGTTCTGGGTAGCTGAGCGGCGGCGCTGTCATAAAGGGTTATTTGTGTGCAACACCCAAAGTCTGGAGTTTTGGGCTGGGAGGAATTGGGTTATTGCATTGGTCAGTTTTAACTGCCAGACGAAGAAATGTGTCTGTCAGTCTTAAAATTAGGCAGCTCAGCTTAGTTCAGGCTTGCTGGTCACCAGCCACGTACCTCTTCATCTTTTTACGTGACTGGGTTAAAGAGACACAGAGAGAAATGAGTTTTTCCCCTTTTCCCCCAGTATAATGGGGAAAATAGTCCATTTTGGCTCAGGATTGGAATTTAACGATGAGAAGACAAATTTTTCCATCCTTGCTCTTGACTCTGAAGAATAGATCCCTAAAGAAACACCTGAGGGACCGTTCTCTCTTTCCAGACATTAAAAAAAAAGAGGGCTTACAAAAGCGAACAAAGAAAGAATTCTTAAATGTCCGGGGCAGCTTGCAGTTACGTGCAGATCTTGTTTAAAGGCTTGAGGAGGTTTTACAGTGAGAAGGTGGGAGAGAGCCAGAAGTACAGAGGAGAAAGGTGAATGCAAGACCTTGGAGCCCGCAGAGCTGGGAGAGCCTGTGTTTTCCTCCTGCAGGTCTGGAATAACGTGGGTGAGAGTATGTAAAGCTCAGCCCTTCCAGCTGCGTAACATGAAATTGCTTTTTAATTTTAGCAGTTGTATGCTTATTTTGCTAGCTCACCCTATCAAATCTGTCATGTAATTCCATGAGTTTGGCTTCTTTCCACTTACTCATCCATCATATGACACCTATCTGGAATCATCTACCAGGTGTAAAGCTTCAAGGAATATAAAATGCAGAGAACGTCCTACATTGGGGTAACTGGTAATCTTACGTAGGAATCCTGTACCCTACAGCAAACGTGGAAAACAGTATGGAAAACTTTTAAGCACATCATTCTTTTAGCACATTTAGAATATTTACTTGTTTACCAAGAAACCCAAATATCCTCCTTTGGTAAGAGACTTGTCTTGCAAAATATATTTGTCTGGCCAGAGTGGTTAATGGTTTTCTCAAAGAGAAAGTTGGCTTTCCACCTGTGAGTGATGCTTATTGGTGTATTTAATTATCTCATGCAGTGACAAGAAGAACCAAGATCCTTAGGCAGGGCAAATATGGCAAGGAAATGTGACCCCCCACTTCAGAAGGTAAGGAGGGAGCATGCGAGCTTGCCAGTTACTTGCGCTTGTGCTGTTCAGTATCCTTGCTGCCTCCTTTCTTGCTCGTACAGAAATTTTAGGGATTCATGACGGGAATAGGAATATGTACACTGAAATTTAGAAGTGTTTCCTTAACTGTAACAGCGGGGGCACACGCTCAGGCTGGAGTGAGTTTGTGCCAGTGCCAGTCAGTGCGGCAGTGTAGGTACTGTCTGCGCATTATTCTTCTTACTCTTGAGAATGTGTCCCAGCTGCGGATGGATTCCTGCCTGGACAGAGCTGGGAACATGTTTTCTCTGTGCTAACCAAGGATGACCCAGTGTCCCAAGGCAATAAATTGAAAAGGCAGTGATAGAAAAGACAAAGATTTCTGATCTTAAAGTAGAGAAATCCCTCCTATTGATGGTTACAAATCTTAGTGACATGAATTTAAAGAGCTCAAGGGGTCTGGTTCCTTTTTCCCCTGAATTCCTTGCAGGATGACCATGTCTTGTGCATTACTGAGTTGTTTTGTGTGGAGTCTCCTATATTATCTAAGTGCGTTTTAAAAGTTGAACCCTGGACAGGAGATGCCCAGAGAGAGAGAGAGAGAGAGAGAGAGAGAGAGAGAGAGAGAGAGTCTGTGTGTATGTGTGTGTGTGTGTGTGTGTGTGAGAGAGGCGTAAGGGGTTTCCCTCTTTTCCCATATTTAGTTCACGCTGCAGGAGACACAGCGGCTTCACACCACTTTAGGATCCAGACCCAGCCTCGCATGGTTCACTCCCTTCCTCTGTTTCACTTCTCTCCGCCCTGTCTCCCTCTCTTAGCAGAAGCTCCAAGAGCCAAGTGTGGGTACCTGGCCCCAGGGCTCTGGGTAGGCTACTGCCAGATTAATGACCAGCCTGTTTAGACTGAGTTAAATGAGCTTGTTTTCCACAGGACTTTTCAGAACCTTTTCTAAGCCAGCATGCGTATGAAAAGTAAGGCGTGGTAGGTGGTGTCCAACTCTTCAGTGCCTACGTAGTAGGAAACGCTTTGTGCTTCTGGATGACAACTCAAACGGGGAAAAAAACTGCTGGCAAGATCGTTAGACAGCTGAGCAAAATAAATTTACAGCAGTGGTTTGCATCAAAAGATGGCAGTAATACCACAGCCACTGTTCAGAGGCATAAACCTGCCACTGTTTGCCATTTTCTTTCGTTGGAGGGAGAGAAGAGAGGTGAGGGCTTCTAACAGGCTCAGGGTGTTGTTGCTTCCCTGACCCTGCTTTCCCCATAATTAATCATCAGCTCTGCCTCATGGGATTTCGAAGAGCCAACCTTCTGGTATCAGATTGTGACGTCTTGACATTCCATTTAATGAAAGTGGGAGACGTCTGCAGATGGATGTGCCCCCTGGGGGCAGGGCAGAGGGACCTGTCCCAGACAGCACACCGTGACCAGAGGGGATGCTGTAGGCTCAGGGGTGCTGCCTCTGTCTGCTGCTGCTGCTACTCCTGCTGCAAAAGGGAATTGTCATGGCTGCTTCCACAAAGGGGAGTTAATTACAGAAAATGTCAGGCTGTTACAGGGCCATTTGTCACCTGGCTTTGGGGAGAGCGGCAGCCTTTAGCAGAGCCCCAGAGAAAGGCCTGGGTGTGTCCCTTGTGCAGGGACAACAGTGAGCCTTTACGCTGTCACCCTGCAGGCCTCGTGGAGAACTTGGCGTTCAAGGACACAGGCAGAGTGGCGGGTGGCTTGGAGGAGCTGGGGCTGGTGGCTTTGGAATGCTTTTCTTTTTGTTTAGAAAATGGGGCAAATTATTGTGGAGAGTTTTTCTATCCCCAAAGTTGGACAAACCCTAATTCTGTAGTGTAGTTAGTGACCCAAGCATGGCACGGCTGGGGGAGAGAGAGAAATGGGAACAGGGCTGGAAGGGCTTAGATTCTCATTAAACCTCTTTAAGCTGTTTATTCAGAACGCATGTGGTTCAGCGCGGCCATAGCCGCTCGTGGGCTGGATGTGCTTTTGCTGCCAGTTCTTCTGAAAGGGAGGGAGGTGGAGGTGGGCGAGTGGTTATTATGCTAATGCCTGGCACCCGCATTTTAACCAGGGCCCCAGCGAGTTCAGGGCAGTGGAAGCTGAGGAGGGTGGAGAGCTGGGTGGCCACTCCCAGGCGGGGACCCAGGGAGTTCATGCAGAGTTTTTAAGCTTGCCTGGGGGCCCCTCGGGGATGTGTGCAGACCTGGCTGCATTGCCATAAGTCTGAGGCTCCCTGGGTTATTCTCACACAGCCAGGGCGTTGAACTCAGTCAGGTACCATCAAAGAGATGTTGAGGGTCAGCATATGCGTAGAGCCAGAGCAGAGCAGACCGCGCTGCAGTGAGCAGGGCACACCAGCCTTCCCGAGGCATCCGGAGCCCACAGTTCAGGATCCACCAGTCTTCCTAGTTCCGTCACTGGGTCGCAGAGACACAGGTGATGATACAGGGAGCGGTGGCCTCGCCAGCTGTGGCTGAGCATGGTTAGAATGTGCCCTCCTCCTGCACGGGTGTGCATGAGCCAGGCTGGTCTCAAACTCACAGCGGTTCTCCTGCTTCAGCCTCCTGCGTGGTGAGGTTGCAGATGTGCACCCCCATACCTGGCCTGCTCTTTGCATCTTTGACTGCTGCCAGAGAATTTCACAGGGAAGTTGAAAAGTAGACCCCCCACTTCCTGTAAAACCCTGTGCGGTGGCTTCCACTGAGGGCAAGGGGAAGACCGCAGTGCACAGCCGCTCTCCAGGCCTGGTGTTGTCTGACCTGCACTGAAGCTCCAGCCCCACAGGCCCTGCTGCAGTTACATTGGGGCCTGTAGCCCTGACCACGGTCCCTGCCCCTTCACCCGAGGAGGATCCGCCATCCCCGCCCTCTCGCCCAGGTCACACCTTGTGCTTTCTTCTCGTAGTACCATGTCCCTCTCCGAACACCACGGACCACGTTTCAGGTGGACTGTCGGAGTCCGTGGGTCTCCCTGTTAGACTGCAGGCCCTGAGGATGAGCTTGTTGTGCTTGCTGTGCCAACGCCTGTCCTCTCGGATGCGTGAGTGGATGCTTCTTTTCGTGGTGAACCTTTAGGTCAGCTGTCTTGGTTACTTTTCTCTCATTGCTGGGACAAAATACCTGATGCCCAAAATTAAGGAAGGAAAGGTTTATTTTGCTTACAGTTTGTGGAGTTTTCAGTCCATACTTGGCAGGTTACAAGGCAGAGTGGCACATGGCAGAGGGCTACCGCTCATGGTGGCAGAACACAGCCAAAGCAACAAGCACCAAAGGGAGGAATGGCCGCAACCAGCCTCTTCCTCTCCCTTACATATGCAAACTGTCCACCCCAGGGTGGGTGTAGCTCTCACACCCATAATCAGTGAAACTCTAAAAGCCTGCCCCATGACCGCAGGAGGCTTTGGGGGGACACACAGACACAAACCATAACATCAGCCTACCTTAGACTTGTGAGCACCTATACACCTGCCCGTGTCAGAGGAGTGTGCGACAAGCTGAACAGAGCCAGGATATGAGGAGGGGGTGTTCGGAGAGGGGCTAAGCTATCGTCTCACTGGTTCTGTGTGTCTGGTGAGCATCCGTCACATGTAACTCAGAGAGCGAGTCCTGATTTTATAAATGTTTGACCAGGTACCTTGACAGCTTTTTCACATACTCACATAGATCATGAGAAAAAAGCTAAGTGGTTAAATATTGCCTAACCCTTCATCCTGGGCCTTACCCTGGCGTGGGCATCTCTGGAAGTTGCCACACGTAGCGTTTGCTTACAGGTGAGCTTGCCTTCTACTGCCCCACTCTGCCCTGCCTTTATCAGCCCAGCAAAAGCTGCCAACTGCTTCTGCCAGGTGTGTGTGTCTGACGCAGCGACAGCCCAGCCACCTGATGGGGAGGGTCGTGTGTGGGAGCTGCCCGTACTTACGACACTCAGTGTCCTTTGAAAAGTTCGAGCCAGTGCAGCAAAACCAATACAGCAGAGTGCGCGTGGCCGAGTGCTTACCAGTCTCTGCACTTTATGCTGTAAATATATCATCTATTTTAGAAACCACAAAATAATGCAGCGAGAGGTGTTTTGTTAAACCTGGAGATGCACGTTGGCTATCAGTTCACCGTGTTGTTCCTTGGCTACAAAAGTCTTTGTGGTCCTTTCCCCTGCTGTGTAAAGTGGTACAGAAGCTAGAGCTGGTGGTTGTGAGGTTTAAGTGATTAAATAGCAGAAAGAAGAATGCTAGGGTACACGTAGATAGTTTGCATTTTTAAAATGTTGTACTCGTTTTTTGCGTGTGTGTCAGTCTCTCAGCTTGGTTTCTTTTAATACGTCCCCACTGGCTCGAGCACCAGTGGAACACACAGAGCGTCCCTTCGGGCGGCTTGTACCACTGGTGGTACAAATGTATCTAATCACTTTTATCAGTCTGTCTGCTAATAAAATGAATAAAAAGCCACCTGATAGGACAGTCATGCATGTACCACTGGTGGTTTAAGCTGCCCAGCAGCAAGACATGGGAATCACGGTGCCACCGTGAGCGTGTTAGTAAGTCGGGGTCATGAAACGTGGAGAAGCACTGTTGTCCATCAGCGGAGCCTTTTGAGACACCACAGAAGCAAAGTGGGCCGCTTCTGGGATTTCGGCTTTGTATTTTTATTAGCACACGTTTGCGCTATGTAATGCTTACGCTCACTGTGGGGCGTTGGTGCATGTGGGGAGCACTGTCAATTCCTTTGACGTCCCCGTCGCCATCTCCTGCCTTCCTCCCTCTCTCTTTCCCTGTCTTTCTTGGGGCACAGCCCACGGCTGTGGTCATGTCTGGCGACCACACTGAGAAGGCCGCAGATGAAACAGGAAGTCACAAAGGTGCAAGTGATGCTGCTCTGTCACTGAAGGTCTGCTAGAGCCTGTGTCCTGGCCCTTCCAGCCTCAGGGTCCCAATTACTCCTCCTGGCCACCCTGAAGGATGGAGCTTTTGCATCACAGATGGACGCGGGGGCGAAGTCACAGAGCCAGTGAGTGGTGGCGCAGGGATTTGAACCGACGCTGGCTCTCCAGGGATGGGGACGGAGCAGTGGGGACAGAGCCATGACAGCTGGCTTCAGCAGGTGGAGGGGAGTTATGGGCCCCTTGCTGGGTGATATTGCCCATAAGCCAGGTAAGCTACAGGGCACTCAAATTTCAATTTCAGAAAACCACAAATAGTCTTTTTAGTATATCTCGTACAATATGTGGGACATACACTAAAAAATGGTTGTTTACCTGAAATTTAAACCTAACTGGGTATCCCATGTCTTTCCTTGTTTAATCTGGAAATTCCATGTGGGAACCCCAGGAAACACTGAGCCTAATGTGTGGGCACCGGAGGGTGGCCCTCAAGTTACCCCGCAAGGGCAAAGGCAGCTTGCAGGTGGAGGGGAGTCACAGGCTGTGCTCAGATGAGGCTGGAGAACCACCTCGCAGGTGCTGTGGGGGAAATTCGGGTTCCGGACGCTGGGTTCCAGTGAGGTTCTAGAAGCAACGAGAAAGAGAGTTACTGTTCTGGGTCCTCGCTGAGCCTGACATTAAGAAACTGCCTCGGAGGTCATCTGCCATCAGCACCGCGGGGAGGACAGTCATCTTGCCTAGCAGGGGTGGCTGGCCTCAGCCGGGGCTACGGCTCAGCCCAGTGGTGCCTTTAGCCACGTGGCCTGGCTTGAGCAGCATCGTGGCAGAGGCGGCACACGTTTTCTCTCTTGCTGGGGATCAGCGGTGACTTTCTGCTTCCTTCCGTGTCCCCTGCAGCTGCTGTGGAGAGTGACTTCTGTGGTGGGCTGAGGACCGACCAGCGTGCCCCACGTCGCACCTGGGCAGGAGGACTATGAGAAGCACCCAGTCCCGAAGCCCTACCCAGGCCCACATGGGCAAATGAACAGCGGTGAGAAGCACAGGTGTTTCTTCGCCTGCTTTTTATTTTCGATACTGGGAACTGAATCCAGGTCCATGGCACTGAGCTACCTACTCAGCTGGGCTTTTTCTCTTGAGACAGGGTCTGACTAAGTCTATACGTTGCCAGGGCTGGGCTTGCACTTACAATCCTCCTGTCACATCCTCCAGGAGTGCGTCACCATACCTGGCTGCTCCTTTTAGATTCTCTAGGGCTGTTTGCACCCTGGCAGCCAGTGAGGGTCTTAAACAGCGTTTCCTCAGTGTGGATTCTGCCCTCTGCAAGTTCCCTCCAGCGAAAGTCTAGTCCTCAGCAGGTGCGTCTGGGGCCATGTAGCGGCCCTGCCCTGGGCCAGATGAGAGCCAGGAGGCAGGTGTGTGAGGAAAAACCTCATCCTAGGTTCCAGACACAAACACGCACGGCCTTTCTCCCATGACCTCCCCTCCAGTGAGCTGTTTCAAATTTGATCTGATTGATAAATGAATCCTGCAGTATCATTAATGAAATACGAAATGTTACATTAAACACCACGCCAAAATACCCACTGGAGCAGAGGGAAGACAGTGCCAGCATTTGTGTGGATTCTGCTCCCTGAAGTCACCTGTTCTTCCTGTTGCCTTTTGCTGAAGTGCTTTGCTTGTCAGCAGCAAAGGCGTCTCGCTTGTGTTTTCTAGGAAGAGCCGTTGGATGGCTGACGTGTGACAACATGCACCACCAGTGGCTTCTGTTGGCCGCATGCTTCTGGGTGATTTTCATGTTCATGGTGGCGAGCAAGTTCATCACACTGACTTTTAAAGACCCGGATGGTAGGTGTGACCTTTAAAGATCTGGATGGTAGACGTGCTTCCTGGTGCAAGGGGCTCTGGGTAATGGGTCCTGGCTGCAGCGCTATTCCCAGGTACAAGTGACAGTGGTCCCAGGACCAAAGGAGGTGCATGCCTTACAGAGGTACCAGAAGGTCATGAATGCCTTGCAGCAGGGCGTAGTGCAGCTTCCGGTTTGGAAGTTCACGCTGCTTCATGTGGAGAGACAGGGCCGTGGTCACTCAGCACGCCTGTGCACCAGAGGTGTCCCACCTTGGTGGCACACGTTTGAAGTTCTTCTTCAGTCAGTGCTGTGGAAGGAGGGTCATTTAAATATGTGTCGTCAGGTTGTCTTAGAAGATCGCCAGCTTTGCTTTATTGAAGAGGTCGTTGAGGTGCAGAGCTATAAAGAGCCGTAGATGGGGTCTCAGCGAGCTGCTTCTACCTCGTGTTCTTGTCCTTTGCTTACCTCTGTTGGTCTTGATATCTTTTCTACGACATCAGCACCCTCTGCTCTGACGGCTTCCCGGGGGCCTGACCCGGACGTTGCTGGGTGTGGGCCAGGTGGGGGAGGAAGCTCTCTTCCAGGGCCAGGTGAATGGGGGGGTGGAATGGGTGAGGGACATGGGGACGTGGGAGGGACATTCGCAGGTCTAGACTGGCTGAGTGCTTCAGCCTGGAAGGCCGATCCTAGGGTCAGGACCAAGGGTGAGGACAGCCTGTCTGCCCTGCATGGTGCTTTTTGCAAAACCATTTTATTTTTCTGGGTCCACATTTGCAGTACGCGATGGTTACATCGGTCGCGGGGAGTCGGTGTCTGCACTGAACACATGGCTGTTCTTTCTCTCCCTCCCCTCCCTCGATCTCTTGGGCCCCTTCCCATTTGCAAATGATCTATCTTCCTACTTCCTGCTGTCTTTTATCTTGCGCTTTAATTTATGTATACTTCAGGCTTCTCGTACACGAGAAAGCATGCAATATTGAAGCTTGTGTGTCTGATTTATTCACTTGACATGGTCTCGAGGTGCATCGTACAAATGACTCCGTTCTATCCTTTGCGGCATAGTTGTACTCCGTTGTGTATAAATACCATTTTTTAGTCTATTCATCTGTCCATGGACCTAAAGGCCACTTATAAGATCTCACTATTACGAGTTGTGCTGCTGTAAGCATGGGTGTCCAAGGATCCCTGCGATGGGATGTCTTTAAGTCTTCCCGGAAGCGCGCCTTGTGTGTCCTCCTGCTGACGTGGCCCAATAGGTATGACTAGGTGTCATCTCTACACCACGCTTTCCCGGTGTATCCCTGTGCTGTCCGTGTGACCTGTGGGCTGCAGGCTCCTGCACTCGAGAGACAAAGTGCTGCTTACAGTCAGCAACACATGTTCGTCATGAGTCCCCACATGTCCCCTGCTGGGAAGCAGGGCACCATCCTCACTCATAAGATTGCATTATTGGTGGTTTATTTCATTTTAAAATAGAGGTGTGTGGAATACGTTTTAGCATAACTTCTGTGTGTAGTAGTTAAGTAAGGCAGACATGGTGGCATTCACCTATAGTCCAGGCTACTTAGCAGGCTGAGGCTGGAGGATCACTTGAGCCTTCGAGTTAGAGACCAGCCTGGGTAGCAGACTTTGTTGCCCATGGCGAGACCCTGTCTCAGAAAAAATTAATAATAGTTAAGTAAAGTGCATGCCCTTGGTTTTTACTGTTCTCTGGCAGGAGAGCTTTTCAGCAGGCCTGGTAGACTAGGTGTGTTCGCCTGGATGTGCCAAGGTTTCTGCTGGGTGTTTTCAGAGAGGTGCGGGTGCCTGGGAAGGCACTGACAGAGGGAGGGAGAGCTTACGCAGGACGGTGGGTAAAAGCAGTGCAGGAAGGTGAAGGGCTCTGGGATTTCAGCCCGGAGGAAAGGTCTGCAGATGACCTCCATTCATCTCACCCCACATTTCCGCTGGTCTGCCTCTGCAACGAGAGGCCTTTCCGCCACCCTCTGGCACGTGGGGTGGCTGTGTGGCCCTGGTAGCCTCAGAGCCAGTGCACAGGGACTGTCGGTGAGAGCCTTGCGCTAAGGTGGCATGTTTTTGCTTTTGGTTTTTTTGAGACAGGGTCTCACTGTGTAGTTCAGGCTGGCCTTAAACTCACTGCGAAGCCCAGGCTAGCCTGGATCTCATGGTGCTCCTCCTGCCTCAGCCTCCTGAGTGCTAGGATTACAGGCAAAAACCACCACACCTGGCGAGAACTGTGGACTAGAATGTACATTTCCCAGGCCTCACTGGGCCCCTCTGTCAGAGGACACAGTTCCGCCCACTACCAGGTCAGGAAACCTAAGAGACTTTTGGCCACGTGGCCATAAGGGGTTGGAGTTTATTTCCCACACGTTCACAGTGTTTTTGCTTTTGAACCGAAAGCACTGTCTTGGTTACCTGACAGCCAAGGTTAAAGGAAGGAAGGTTTATTTGGTGTACAGTTTTTAGAGCTTTCGGTCCATAATTGGCGGGCTCCAAGGCAAGGTGGGTGGCAGAGGGGCCTCCCAGAGAACGGTTCATGGCACCCACAGCATAACAAAAGCAACCAGGGAGGGAGAAAAGACTCTCTGCCCTTTATATCAAGAATGCAAGCTACTGCCCTAGGGAGGGAGTAGCACTCACGTCCTTAATCATAGCCGGAAGTACACCAGACCCCTCACAGTGGCGATGGTGGCATTGGTCATCAGCAGAGAATCAGTGGCAGAAGAAAGCCAGACATAATAACCCGTGCTGTAGGTTTTATCTGAATCTAGTTGAGTCAGGGTTGGACAAGCTGGGAAGAAGACACAAGGAAGCTTCACATCATAAAGATGTTAACTTCAGGGGCGATTGGTCCTCAGGGCACTGGTGGGTCGTTCCCACTCCTGTTGCACAGGAAGAAAGGCGGTGGGTGGAGGATGCTGGGTACCAGGTAGGGGGCCGAGGTCCAACAGCCAGACTGCGCAGGCACGCGGCTATGCACGGCAGCGTGTGGGTGTTAATGACCCAGGGGGAGGAGGTTTTGATTTTTAAAATATGCTTTTGTGTATTCAGTTTCTATACTTTTATTTGATACCTACTTTTTTTTCTAATTATGAGAGTGCAAAATTTTGGAAGTAAATGTTTCTTTGTTCACAGAGAGCTGAAGGTGACCTTCACATTCTACCCCAAAGGTATTTGCAAAATCGGGATTGTTATAAATTATTGTTCTGGGCAAGCACTTAGGATTCCTGTGGCCTGATTTTGAACCCCCTGACTTTTTAATGTGAAAGCGCTGACTTGACTGCTGATTGGTTTTCTGTAAGTTAAAGTTTTTAGTAGGAGGTTATTGTGGAGTGCAATCTACTGTAAGAAATAACATGGAGAGGTCCTGTGTTCCCTTTACCAGCTTCCTCCATGGTGGCGTCTTGCAAAAGCACAGCATAGTATGGGAAGCAGGGAATCTGCAGGGATGCAGTCAAGAGATGGAACATTTCCATCGCCATGGTGATCCATCCTGCTGCCCTCACAGCCACGCCCACTTCCCCTCCCTCTCCCAGACCCCTTACAATCACTAATCCATTCCCTTCTCCATAATCTTAGCGTTTCCTATATATAATATATATATAGGGAGAGAGAGAGATCGAGAGATCGCCTTTTGGACTTGGCTTTTCTCACTCAACGTAATTCCTTGGAGAGTCACCCAACTTGGTATCAGTTGATCTTTCAGTTTTATCACTGCTTTGTATTCCACGGCTGTGAACTGTCTGTGTGTTGAAGAACGTGAGAGCTCTTTCCAGTTCAGGGCTGTTACAGATGTAGCTTCTCTAATTGTTTGTATACAGGTCTTTGTGTGAATACTAATTTTAATTTCTCTGGATGAAATCGCAGCGAGTGCAGGTGCTGGGTCGTGTGGTCAATGCATCCTGGTTTTTTCCCCCGAGTTGCTCTTTCTTCAGAGTAGCTGTACCCTTTTCCATTCCCGCAGGCGTTGTATAGGGGGTCAGGTTTCTCCGCACCCTCACTGCCGTTCGGACTTGTCACTATTTTTGATCAAAGCCATTCTGCTAGGTGTGTAGTGAGGTCCCTTTGTGGTTTTAATTTGCATTTGCCTCATGGCTGATGATCTTGGACACCTCTGCCTGAGTTTGTTTGTTCTCTCTATATCCTTTTCCAGGAAATGTCTGTACCTGCCTTGCCCAGCTTTTAATTGGCTTAGTTTTGTAACTGTTCAGTCTTGACTTTTTATATTCTAAATGCAAGTCTTTTGTCAGATACATGGTTTGTCCATATTTACTTCTTGTCACTTGTCTTTGTCCTCCTCAGAATTTCACAGTGCACAGGTTTTTAATTTTAATGTTCAGTTTTTCCAAAGATTTTCTCCTCTGCTGTTTAGTGAAACTGTTAGGGCTCAACATCTTATAGCTAACTCTACGATTCATTTTGAATTTATCTTTGAATAAAAGGTGAGGTTTAGACAGAGCCTTGCCCTTTGCTTACAGCTGAGTTTTCTGGGAAGACTTTCCTCCAGTTGGCTTGCTTTGTCACGTGTCACCCAAGCATCGTGCTCTGTCTCACCCAACAGTGTGCCTGTCGCTGTGCCTCCTTGAGAAGACACCTTAACATCTCTGTTTTCTAGGATACAGCACCAAGCAGGAGCTTCTGTTCCTGACAGCTGTGCCGGAAGCGGGGAGGTCGGCAGAAGAGAAGCACTTTCCTGGGGAACTGAAGGTGGGTACAAGCCCAGTCCCCTCTGACATGGACGCAGTTGTCTTCAGGGAGCCTTGCACAGTGTCCCCATTCCCCGCCTGTGCTGTCACCTGCAGTGGTTTCCATTTGTCACTGTTGCCTGCTCCCTGTCGCAGGTTGAGCATCCCGAATCCAAAGTGCTCCCAAACCCCAAACGTTCTGCGTGCCGACATGAGGCCACTGGCGGCTGATTCCACAACACAGAGCTTGGTATTGTACATAAAATGATACAAAATATCGTACTCAGCTACCTTCAGGCTGTGCGTCTGCACACATATGAGGCTAAATGAATTTTGTGCATGGATGAAGAGCTCACTAGTATACACAGATGTTCTAAAATCTGAAAACACTAGAATTTGACACACCATGGTCCCAAGCATGTTGGATGAGGGAAACGGCCTGTGGCTGCTTTTGCTACTTTTGTGTATTTACGTTCACCTTTTAGCTTCCGGTTGGGGAGGAAGAAAGTCACATGTATATTATATTCCTTGCTCATGAAGCTGTCTAAAGGTTTCACTAAATTCCTGGCCAGCTGAGTAGGAGCCTCGCCAGAGGTGGGGAGCATGTTGGGCAAGGTCAGGAGAAAACTGGGAATCTGAAAAGGTATCTCTCCCAGAGTCCCGGGGTTTGGGAGAGAAGAGGCCTTGGACAGCAGAGAGATGATCTGGCCTCAGCGCTGCATGGGTGGAGGAGCCTATCCTGGAGAAGAGGCCGGTGCTCGACTCTGGTGGAGTCACAGGCAGAGCCCAGAATGGCCACTTTCCTCAGCACTGGCCTGCTGTAACATCGACCCCACGTCCTCCCTGCAGGCCCCCTTTACACATAAGTTCCTTGTAGCTCCTGCCAGGATGAGGTCTGTGCTCAGGAAGGTCACTCTCACCTGCCAACTCCTGTCCTGAGACTGGAGGGTAGAGGTCACCACTGTGTCAGAAGAAACGAGATGGGTCAGGCGAGCCCTAAAGATGCTCATCAGCCTGGAATTAAACCGAGCTTCTGTGGCTCACAGGGCAAGATGGCAAATCACAGCCCAGCAGAATGGGAAGCGTCCCTGGTCAGAGCAGGGCAAGGCTAGGGTGTACTTTTTCAGATGCTGATGTGATGGAGATTCAGGCTGCAGAACTCTTTCGAGACACCCAGGAATGTGGCTCTTGGGTGGAGACATCCAGGGGCAAGAGAAGAACTCAGGTGGCTTACAGAGACAGAAGCGTCAACACCTGCAGAGACTAGGAGGGGTCTCGACATAACAGGCGATGCTGCAAGGACAGAGAGTGCGCGGAGCGGGGGTGCCGTGGTCTGCGCGAGGGCGCTGCAGGAAAGCCCTCTGCAGCCAGTGGCCTGCCGGAGCAGTCGTGGGTGGTTCTGTGTCTTTGCTGGGGGGAGCGGGGCAGAGAACATGATGCTACTTGATCAGCAACTGAATGGACGTTTCTCCTTTACATGTAATGCGTGAGCTCAACGAAAAGTGAAATTTGCCAGTGATAGAGGCTGTTGTGCGAATTTCTAGAGGTTGTTTGAAGGCGCCATCCCTGGCACCCACTGCTCATCTGGGTTCAGTTTGGGTTTCAGGTAGTTTTGAGGGAGGACGTCAGGGTGGCAGCAGAAGCATTTCGGAAGCTCCCGGGTCACAGGTGGAGTGGGGTTGCTTCTCAGAGGGCTGGGTCGGGTCTGGGGCAGACGCACCACTGCAGCGTGAGCCATGGAGGAACTTTAACTCGTCAAACAGCTGTGTGCTGTGGTGTGTCCCCTGTCTGTCCCCTCTGCTTTTCCCTCTGGCTCATGCACACACATATACATGTACATGCGCGCACACACTCGTGCTATTCAGCTAGGCTGGCCCAGGTGTCTCCCCAGGACCCTACCAAGACTCAGAAGCTGCTATGGGCCGAGTGCCAGCCCCAGAGCAAGAGGACCTGAGTTTGAGCATCAGCCAGAGCCCCCTACTGCTGGGGACGTTCTCTCAGGTGCCACATGGCCCCAGGGGTATGCGCTGCCCTTTGGAACTCGAGCTCTCCCATCTTTCCTGGTTTTGAATTTAGCCTTCCCTCCAGAAGGAGGTCACAGGAACAGGTGCAGGTCACTGCGCTGGCCGTGGTGCTGATCCACATCTGTAACTCAGTGCAGCAGTGGAAGGGACGGGCGGGCTCCGAGGCCTCGGGACACTGCAGGAAGTAGTGGTTATCGCTCTCTGGAAGCAGGGGGCAGGCAAGAGGGTGGGCTGGCGGGAGTGGCTCCTGTGTCCTCCCCTCGATCCCTTGTGCCTTCTGCTCCTTGTCGCCCACAGCCGACGGGGAAGATGCTTGGCGACAGCCAGCCTGTGCAGCCCCTGGTCTACCTGGAGCGCCTGGAGCTCATCCGGAACGTGTGCAGGGATGAGGCCCTGAGGAACCTCTCGCACACGGCCGTCTCCAAGTTTGTCCTGGACCGAATATTTGTCTGCGACAAACACAAGATTCTTTTCTGCCAGACTCCCAAAGTGGGCAACACGCAGTGGAAGAAGGTGCTGATTGTGCTCAATGGTGCGTGTGCCGCGTGCTGCTGGCGGGGGGCGTCTGTCAGGGACCTCGAGGTCTGCCTGGAGTGGGGAGAGCGCCTGGAGAGCGTGGGCTTCCTGTCCTCCCGAAGCTTGGCCACCTTCCAGGTGGTTCTCGGGTTTCCGCACCACCGTTGCACTTTAAAAGTTGGTGGCGTTCATTTCTTTTCCTTTTTTTACTCTTCTTCCTCATCCTCCTCATCCTCTCATCCTTTTCCTCTACCTCTTCCTCCTCTTCGTCCTCCTCTTGCTCATCTTCTTCATCCTCTTCCTCCCTCACTTCCTCCTCTGCCATGCAAAGATCACCCCAGATCCTTGTGCCTGCTGGCTGGGTGCTTTGCCTCTGAATCCGAGCTACACCCCCAGTCCTCTGTTGCGTTAGTTTATTTATTTATTTTACTTTATTTTATTTATTTTTGGGGTTTTTTTTCTGGTACCGGGAATCGAACTCGTGACTTCGTGCTTGCCAGGCAGACACTGTGCCGCTGAGCTAAATCCCCAGCCCCAGTTGGGTTAGTTTAAATACTGATGATTTTCAAAGACACCTGGCCGTGGTCAGGATCTCCTCGCTTTTCTCAGTGGGATCCCCACCTCGGCCAGCCTGCCCACCCCACTGATCCTTGCACTGATCCTGTTGATTCTGGGTGCTGGTCCTTCCAGTCACAAGCTCTGTCCTGACCGTGTCAGACCAGGATGCTGCCTGTCTGTCCCTTTGAAGTGCAAAGCCCTTCCCCACCCTAGAGCCTGGGAGGTGACCCTGCTGCCCTGCTTGGTGGGCCTGGGGTCTTTCACCCACGGACTGAGGGTTCTGTGCCCATTGGGTAGAAAGAAATTGCCCCTTCCTTTCCACTGTGTTCAGAGATGTAAGTTGGCTTGGTTCAGGAAGTATGTTTACGGAGGAGCCAGTGAGATCATAGAAAAGCGACTTCAGATACTGCAATTTTGATTACTCACAGCTCTTTTCAGACTGGTTTGTTTGTTTAAACTCCAGTTAGTTTGCACTGATCCGGGGTAATTATGGGTTCTGTCTGGTAAAGTCTGCTTCAAAAGGAACTTCGCTCCACAGCAGTAGGACGCCTGGTCCGCAGTCAGGGCCTGGTGCCACAGGCTGGTGGTGGTCTGTCCCCTGGTCTGCGGCTCCCGAAGCAGCTCTCGGGGTTGCTGGTCAGTGTTGGCCATGTGCTCTCTCCACCCTGAATCAAAGAGGAGGTAAATTCCCACTTACCAGGATGGGCAGAAGCAGGAGCAGGCCACAGTGTGTGCGTGCCAACACCGCCTGTCGTGCCGCCGACGTGTACGGGTTTGGTTTTTCCACATTTCAGTTAAAAGTTAAGTTAAGCCTGGTGCTGTGGTCCACACCTGTAATTCCAGCATGCAGAGGGCTGAGCTAGGCTTGCCTTGAGTTTGAAAGCAGCCCAGGTGACATCCTCAGTTCAAGGCCAGCCTGAAATGCACAGTGTGATCCTGTCCCAGAGAACTAAAAACAAAATTTTTTTTTAATTAATAAAAAGCACCTTCCTTCTTTGACTTCAGCACCTGCCGGAGTCAGATGCTTGGCGAGAATAAAATGAAACTGGCTCTGAGAGGCCCTTTATTGTCCACCTCACTGTTTCCTGAAGAAGCTCCCCTCGGAAATCTTCAGCTGTTTCTAAAACTGCACGGGCTTTTCTGATCTCTTTTCCTGTTCTTGTTTTTTTAAGGCCTGCAAACAAACAAAACAAAGGAACAGGTTTGCCTGGTCACATGCGGAGGCACCGGGTGCTGGTGGCTGTCATTGGTTTTGTCCTTCAGTGCACCTGCGGACCCAGAGAGCTGGCTTTTCCGCCCACCCCTGGCTCATTGTAAAGCCACCCACAGCACCGGCAGAGTTCCGGCCTGGGGCTTAACTGGGGAGGAGTGAAGGAATAAAACAGGCCAGGCTGCAGCCCTGGCTCAGAGATGCCCCAGGAGGGGTTCTTCCGTGCCAGGACAGCAGGATCAGCAGGAGCTCAGGGGCATGGCTGAATCCCTCCTGACATGCTGACTCTGTTTGCATTTGTCCACACCAGGAGAAGAGAGGCTGGCCCAGCCCCCAGCCCAAGACGGACGCCTCTGCCCAGGTGCCCTGCAGCCTGAAGGACAGACCATGGCTGCTGGTGCCCCACCTCATGGGACGCTCCTGTCCCGCACTCATTTCTGTAGATCACAGTGCCCATAGCTACAGCTGGATTTTCCTAGCATCAAACACCTTAGCCACTCACTGTTCCAGGCTGCCCAGAGGGCTCCTGAGGACCACTGCCGGTCTGGGGCTGGGGCCCCAAGAGCCCAGGCTGCTGTCAGGATCAGAGCAATGGCATTGCTGTGGGCACTGCATCCAACCCTCTCCCTCTGGCATCTCCCCAGGGTCGGAGGAGAATAGGTGTTGTGTTACTCATTTTAGGAATTGTTTGCAGGACTTGAGCTTTCTACTTATTTTATTTATTTATGGTACTGTGGTACTGGGGATTGAACTCAAGATCTTCACGCTGAACAGTTTCTTTTTTTATTTCGAGATAAGTTCTTGCTAAGTTGCCCAGGCTGGGCTCAAACTTGGGGTCCTCCTGTCTCAGCCTCCCAGAGTGCTGAGCTTTCTTTAATGGCAGTGTTAGTCCAGGTGCGCTGCCAGGGGTAGGCGCTGTCTGTATTTCTACCCTGCTCCCTCCCCTTCTCCCTTCCCAAGATCCTCTCTTCCTCCACTTGGCTCGCGGATTACTTGACGCTTGTCTTCCCCCTCCGGGCTTCCAGCTGGAGGAGCTGGAACTTGGAGGCTCAAGCATGGATGTTGGGGATAGACTTGTCACGCGTGCCCTGGGGAGCACGGGGACCGAGAGGAGAGGTGGCAGCTTTCTTTAGAGGCCATGCTGAGGCACCAAGGCGCTTTCCCTGTTTCCCTCCCAGGAGTCTTCCCGTCCATCGAGGAGATCCCGGAGAATGTGGTGCACGACCATGAGAAGAACGGCCTCCCACGCCTCTCCTCCTTCAGTGAGGCCGAGATCCAGAAGCGGTAAGAGCAGGGTCTGCAGCAGGGACCAGGGAAGGAAAGCCTGCCCGCGGAGTACGTGTGATACACCCTAGGCTCAGCTTGTGCTTGCTGGGGACCAGCCCTGCTTCACTCCGAGGAACACAAATAGGGCTGCTGGTTTGGTTGTTGAGCAGCCACCAAGCATCCAGGGGGTGTAGACTGAGCCCTCATGAGAATCTCAGGACGTCTTTTCCAGCCTTACCATCATGTCTCCCATAATATTTATCCTGTTAATAGAAATGAGTCCAGGTGTTATGGTAGAGGCCTTGGGAGGCTGAGGCAGGAGGATCAATCTGCCTCAAAATCAGAAATAAAAATGGCTGGAGATGTAGCTCAGCACAAAGGCCCCGGAACCCTAGCACTGCAAAAAGAAAGGGAAAAAAGTCTTAAGAGTCACTTTCTATGGCCTCTTGTCAATCCTGGCTTACTCTGAGTTCCACACTTACAAAAGTTCTTGAAGGTTTGAATTAATCCAGTCCTTAACAAAACATTGATTACACAGAGTTTTCCCAGGGAATCCCTAGGAAGAGTATGGTGGCTGAGGACAGTTGAGTTTCCTGGGCTTCTGTTTTCTCACAGCCATGCCAAAATCCGAGGAAGAGAGGTGGACCCAGCAGGGCTTGGCCTAGTAAGGCTTCCACGGGTAGGGAATGCCTCACACTCCCTCTGTCTCAGTTCAGTTATTTTCTCATTGCTGGGACAAGTGCCCAATACCCACAAGTTAAAAGGGAAAGGTTTATTTTGGCTCACAGTTTGTAGAGGTTTCAGTACATGGCTGGCTGGCTCCAAGGCAGGGCGGCATGGCAGGGGGGCCTGGCGGAGAAGAAACAGTCCATGGCAGGGCAGGCAGGAAGTGGCAAGCCTTCCTTTCTCTTTTTATTCCATCGAATCTACAAACTTATTGGTTGGTGCCACCCACCCCCAAGGTGGGCCCTCCCTCTTCATTAAAACCATCATCCACACCTAGAACTATGTTAAACCCATCAGTGGACTGAGCCAGTATCACACACTCATGGTGCAGCATCACACACCCATGATCCAGTCAGTCCCAAAAGCCCCACCTATGAGTGCGTGTAACTTTGGGGGCCGGGCATCTAGAATTAAGCCTTAACACACTGTTGTGGCCACTAAGAGCATCCAGTTAACCACCTGTTTGTTTTCACTGTTTTCCTTAGATTGAAAACATACTTCAAGTTTTTCATTGTAAGAGATCCTTTCGAACGACTCATTTCTGCCTTTAAGGACAAGTTTGTGCACAACCCCAGGTTTGAACCTTGGTACAGGCATGAGATTGCCCCGGGTATCATCCGGAAGTACAGAAAGAACCGGACAGAGACCCGGGGGATCCAGTTTGAAGATTTTGTACGCTACCTGGGTGACCCAAACCACAGGTGGCTTGACCTTCAGTTTGGGGACCACATCATCCACTGGGTGACATATGTGGAACTGTGTGCACCCTGTGAGATCAAGTACAGTGTGATTGGACACCATGAGACGCTGGAGGAGGATGCCCCGTACATCCTTCGAGAAGCCGGTATCGACCACCTGGTGTCCTACCCAACCATCCCTCCAGGCATCACCGTGTACAACAGAACCAAGGTCCAGAGCTACTTCCTGGGCATCAGCAAACGGGACATCCGGCGCCTGTACACACGCTTTGAGGGGGACTTCAAGCTCTTTGGGTATCAGAAACCAGATTTTTTGCTAAACTAATGTGTAGGATCTGTGAATGCAGATATCTATATTAGTGCAGCAGACAACCAGATGGAGATCTGAGTGCAGGAAGGGCTGTTCCCGGTCATACCCCTGCTTAAGAGACTCCCTCAATATTTGGTCCTGGGAGCAAGCGAGGCTGTACCCTGGCAGCTCCACCTGGCTTAGGTATAAGATGCTGAGGGCTCCGCCCACCTGAGCTGTATCATCAGGACACCAGTGGCGCTTGCCATTTCCCAGAAGAAAGGTGACGCAGCATCAGGAGTTGTCTGAGTGGGAGTCACGCCTGTGGCTGTCCTGGCTGGACCTAGTGGTCACATTAGTCACTGGTGAATGGCAGGAACAGAGGACACCAAACAGGAGAGATGGAGAAACTGAGGCACAGCAGACCCTCTTGAGGCTCATGGAGGATCAAATCTAGGTCATGGAATGACATCTCTGCTGCTCGTCCTCGTTGCCAAAGCTGTGTGCCAAGCACCCCTCTCATCAGCATAGTTTTGGGAGGTGCGGGGGAGGAGATTCTTTCCACCTGAGCAGGGGACTCTGGGGCCTGAGAAGGAACACGGCGTGGGAGGCCGCTGCATCCTGCCTTGCACGCTTCCTGTCCTGAGTGACCGTTGAGGTGGGCAGCGGGGCTCCCACACCTCCCTCCGGTGCTCCTCCCTCCTCAGCGGGGAGAAGGAGCTGGACATCCTTCTGATAGAACGACTGGAGGAAACCAGACGTTGGGGAGTGCATGGCAGCTTCATGGGATTCTCTGGCCTCCACCATCCCAGCAGCTGCTCATCTCCGCTAGGTGGCCGCCCCCAGACCCTTTTCTGATCATGCCAGTGTGCTGGACGAAGTGGCCAGGAGTTGGGTAACCAAGTTCACCAGCAATAAAGCCTCCAGCGAGGTGCGCTGCAGGCGCAGAGCAGCAGAGTAAGAAGCAAGCCACCGTGGCTGTTCCAGACCGTGTCCCCGAGAGTTGGTGGCACTCACGTCTGTACTGACTGTGAGCCCAGCCTGGGAGGAGGGAGCCGGGCTGCCTCCCCTTCTCAGATTTGTAAATGTGAGAGCAAAATAAAATTTAAAATTCGTGCCAATCCGGACGTGTGCTGCAGCTCCAGGGCAAGGTGCTTCGGTTCGTGTGTGACGCCCCCCCAGGCCTGGTGACAGGGACAGGACTGGACAGAAGCGAGACTCAGCCCTTTGCCCTCGACGGTTGTGCCAAGGATGTGACGATGAGTTACTTTTCTATAACTCTCTTTTCAGCGATGTCTCCTTAAAACCATGTCGGACCTGATGAGCTGATCGATTACCTCCTTCCTCTTTGAAAAGTCACAGTGTGAGAAATGTATGTGAATTTAAGGCCTTAAAGTTAGTCCTAATTAAAATAGCTTTTTCTCTCAGAAGCAAAAGCTTGGTACGTGGGTTAGTTTTGGTTCTGTGTCTGTTTTTGCCCTCCCTTATGTCATGTGGATCATTTTCCTGAAATATTTTGTCAAACAAGTAAAGGTTGCTACCAAAATACCTCATGGACATCTCAGTGTGTCCAGCGCAAGGCTGCTTCCGCCCACTGTGGCTCCTGGCCCTGTGCCTGGCCCTGGACGTTACCGCCTTCCACTCATCCTCAGAGGTGTGGGATCTCTTGATCTCATGGCCTTGAAGCGGGCCTCCACCCACCTCTGTCCCTGCAGTGACTGGCACAGACCTGGCCCTCCCGCCTTACAAGCAGCTTCCTCACACCCGTGTCAGTTTTAGATCTTACGGCTCAAGGGAGACTGATGCTCCAGTCCCACCAGAACAGCAGACCCTGTGCTGCAGAGTCACCCGACAGCTCAGAAGGCGGCCCCTGCCTTTGGCCTGGCACTCCCTCACCTCCAGAGGCCTGTGCTCACGGTCTGCCTAGCACAGGTCTCCCCTTCGGAACAGGCAGAAGTGGCCTCGCCACTGGGTGCCGTACTCTGGATCTACAGTGGTTGCAGCAGCTCTGATGACCCGCGGGTCCTGCTGGGGTCTTGCTTACCTTTTGCAGATGACAGATGACAAGAAGGCTTGCGGCCTTCCTTTGGTCCTGTTGTCTGTCCCCATCGTCAGTGCTGGATGGCGGTGTTGCTGCTGGTGTGACCCCTTCTCTCTCGTGGTTTCTGTCCGGGTGGTGGATCAGGACCGTGCTTCACAGGCTGGTCTCTGGAGCAGATGGTTGGCGGGTCATATCCTTGGTGTTCTCTCTGTATCCGCTTTCTTCCTTTATTTGTAATGTGAATAGGCTGAGAATGTTCCCAATCTTTAGACTCTTGTTCTGTTTTCTTAATAATTCAGCCTTGAAGTCATTTCTTTCTTCTGTTTTGCTATGCAGATGCTTCTGAACTTGCTATGTGGTTACTTTCTGATAAAGCCATTGTAAGTTGACAAAGATCCTACATGAGGAATACATTTGTTACGCCTAACCTGCTGAACACGATACCTTCGTGACGCAGCGCACTGTAGTCTCGGTTGCTTCCCCTGTGGTGCGTGGCTGGGAGCCACAGTTCGCTGCCTCTGCCCGGATCGCATATGGCTAAGCTGGGAAAACATCAAAATTCAAAGCGCAGTTTCCACTACATGCATGCTGCTTTCACATGATCATAAAACTTAAAAATCTTAGGTTGAATCCTCGTAACCATCTGTGCCAGAAGTTGGAAGGAACCAGGTCCATCTTCAACACTTGGTCTAGAAGTCTCAGCTAAAGATTCCGTTTCTTTACCTGCAAGTTCTCCTTTCCACAGAATGCTTGGACGCAAACACAGTTCATCCGATTCCCTACCCGTTTAGAGCAATGATTGCTTTTCCTGCTTCCAAAACCTCGTTCCTAAAGCCTCTGCAGCATGGCTTTTCCCCCCCATCTCCACCACCTTCTGTTCAGAATGCTGCGTTTTCCAAGAACGCTGCCTCTCTGCACTCCTTTCTAAGCCGTCCCCAGAATTGTCTTCCATGCCCATATTTCTAGCTCGTACCTCAGAACTCCAGTCTGTGTGCAGAGCCCTGGGCAAAAGTTGCTTCCGTGATTTTAGACATTTGTTTGGGCAACATCCCATTTCTCAGTTCCAATTTCTACCTCAGTCTGGTAGTCTTGAGCTATCAGAAGATACCACAGACTGAATCTAAACAAAAGAAGTTTATTTCTGACCATTTCAATCTGGGAAGGCCAAGATCAAGGTGTCAGCAGGTTCAGTTTTTAGTGAAGTTCCATCTTGGCTGGCAGACCGCTGCCTTGCCGTGCCCGTGCGTGACAGTGTGTTCCTCGGTCTCCCTTCTTCTTAGAAAGATGATGACACCCCTGCAGGAGACCTAGCCTCATAACCTCCCCTACGCCAATTATCTCCTGAAGGCCCCACCTCCATGTACACATTGGGGATTAAGAGTCTGTGTGTAATGTAGGGGACACAAACAGTTAGTCCAAACCACTGGTCGAGAGGACAAGGATTCTCCATTTACCAATGCAGCTCCCAAGCCTAAAGACTGAAGGTGCTGCTAGTGCTGAGTTGACTTGGGGTGCAGGTACAGAGGATGGGGTTTTCCACACGGACACTCGTCAGCCCCCTCAACCACCCGTGTGCAGCCCAGTGTGGCTGCAGAAGCCTCTGAATTCTTCACCCCCTCCCCTGCTGCCAGCATTCAATGTGGGGGGCAAGCTATGATCTGAAGCCACCTCAACCTCCATTGCACCCCAAAGCTCATAAAAGGATCTATTTTCTGTATTCTCTATCTCAGTTTTTGGGGATGAGGATGCTAAATAAAAGAACACCTCTTCTCCCACACACATGCACAAAATTGCCCATTTCAAAAACCTCTCTCCTCTTATTGTCGCCTTTTTTCCTTAGAAAAATGCCCAGTGTAAAAGAGCAGCAACAATTTTTACTTTGCCATCCTACAGTAAGTAGTAACATACACTTTAGAACCTTTTGTACATGTTAGCAAAATTGATCTTTGAACATCAGGCAACTCAACTGATGTCAGGTCATGCTGCTGTGGAAATTAGGGTTCGGGTTCTCATTTTGATCCAACTGAGTTGGGTCTGCTTCCCCTTATGACCGGGAGCCCCAGATGAATTTCTCTAGGGCCAGAGACTCGAAGAAAGAAACATAGGCCTCCCAGCCAAACCTGAGCGAGCAAGGCGGAAGAAAGGGTGCATGGCTTCCCATCCAGCGCCATTGCTGTTCATGAAATCTGGCTGCACACAAAGATCAGAAACAGGGCCTGTGGCTGGCGGAGAATTACCTTCCAGCACTGATTCAAAGTCTTCACAAAACCTGCTGCAGTCCATGTGACGAGGAAAAGAGCATTCCTTTTGCCTTCCTCCTAGACCCCCCTATACAAGGTTTGGATTTGGAGCACCGAGCTCAGTGACCCTTAGGTTCTATATCAATAAGAAGCTCCAGTTCCTAAGCTTACAATTAGTACTCGTGACCCTTTGTAAGTATACTTGCCTCAGTAGCATTTGGTGGAACTTTGGTGTGGGGTTGCCATAAACCTAGAATTCCCTCTTGTGGTTCTGTGGCCGAGCCCCTGATTCGTTGCTCAGACCTTGAAATGGGTTGTGGACCTGTGCTTTTCAGAACCGCGGACAGTCCTGATGATGCACCTAGCTCTCTTGGCCTGGGTTCCAAATGTAATGCAGAACCGGTTCCACTCACCTTTCCTTGATCTGGCTTTCTGCCACCTTGGATGTTTCTGCTTTCTCAAGATTTCTAGCATCTGTCTCCTTCTGGCCCTCCTTTCACCCCTCTTGTCAGAAGCCTGACTCACACACCCTCAATAATGTGGTTCTTTTGCTGCCTGGGTTTTGTCATGAGTGATTTAAACTAGTGTTAGGGTTTATGTCAGGATGTCCCCCAAAGCCTCATGTGTGCATAGGTGAGGCTTTGGGGAGGACATTGGACCATGGGGGCGATGCTCATCAGGAGAGGAGTCCGCTGGTGAGTTTATAGCTAAATGGGATGTTGGGAGGAGGTGGTCACTGGGGGCGTGGCCTGGGAGGACCTGGCTTCCTCGCTGCTCCCTTGATCTCTTTCTCTGCTTCCTGCCTCAATACCATGAGCTGTTTCTCCTCTGCAATGCCACCCTGCCTTGCAGCCAGCTGACTAGGGACTGAAACCTCTACAAAAAGTTAAGCCCAAATAAACCTCTCCCCCTTTATCTTATGGGTGTCAGGTATTATGTCCCAGCAAGGAGAAAATAACTAAGACAACTAGCATGCCCAAAGTAAACTCCTAGTCAGTAAGTCAGCTCAGTAAATATCAAGTTCAGTTATCAAAATAACTTCTAGTTTTTTAGGACAGAATCTTAATGAACCTGGAGCTAATATCTTTTTTTAGAAACTGATTTCTGTCTTTTGTTCTTTGACTTAATTTACATAACTTATGAACCATAAATTTTATCTTTTGTAAGTATACAGTTAGATGATTGCTAGTAAATGAAATATCATGTAATGATTATGGCAATTTAATTTTGTCTGTCACCCAAAAAACATTTCCCAAATGCCCATTTGAAGTTAATCTTCAACCCAGACAACTATTGAGCTTTCTGTCTCTATAGTTTTGCCTTTAACAAAGTTCCACCCAAATGGAGTCTTATAGTACAGTACATAAACTCCCGTGTATGACTTCTTTCTGTTAGTGCAGTGACAGCAAACCTTTTAGACACCGAGTGCCGAACTGCAACCCTAAATCACTTCCCGCAAAATGCCAACACTGCAATTAAACCTGAACACTGAGGTTTTAGATTAGAAAAAATAACCATTATCCGATCCTGAGCTGCTGGGGTGACTTGGCTTAAGTGCCGATAGAGAGGGCTCTGCATGTCCACTGTGAGGTGTGTGCCATAGGTTCGCCACCACTGCCTTGGAGTATGCAGTCTGTTAGGGTCATTGTGTTGTTACATCTGTCACTATCTCATTTCTTTTGACTACTGATTAGTATTCCCTGCTAATAAAACACATTTTGTTCATCCAATCATGATTTGATGAATAGCTGTGTGTTTCCCGTGTTTGACTGAACAGATACTAGTGCTGTGTACGCTTTCGTACAAGTCTTTGTGTAGATAGCTGTCATTGTTCCTGTGGAGTACATATCTATGCATGGAATTGCCACGTCACAGCTTATTTTTAGTTACAAGAAAAATCAATGCCATGGCTCTCAGAAAGTTTGAAGGGGAAAAAAGTAGATCCAATGTCTAGGTTATGTAGAGAATAAAAGATTTATCCTTAGGCAAAATGCACTGAGAAATTATATGGACAGGGCTGGGGATTTAGCTCAGTGGCAAAAGCGCCTGCCTGGCAAGCTCAAGGTCGTGAGTTCGGTTCCCGGTACCGGAGAAAACCCCCCCCCCAAAAAAAGAAATTATATGGACAATAAATGTAATAATAAAAAATACTGAC